CCCCCCCTCTGCCCCCCCCAGCCTGCTCCCAGCGCCCCACTGCTGTCCTACCCCCGCGGCTCTCGCTGCCCCCCACCCCCGAGCTCAGCCCGCAGGGCCCGGGTGGCTCTGGGGAGGGCGGTGCAGTGTTACCCCCCTGCCCAGGGCATTGCCGGGGCCCACCAGCGGATCCTGGCACGGTGCTCGCGTCCATTCCCACACGGAGCTGGCCCTGCTTGCCTGCACGGGCTGCGTGTTTCACACCGTGTGTCCCGCGTGTCCGCATCCAGCCGGTGCGCACCCTTGTCCCCGTGAGTGCCCGCCCTCTGCTTGGCCCTGCCAGCCCGCCCCAGCTGTACCCCACAGCTCATCCTGAGACCTTGCTCCAGCTTCTCTTCTCTCCGCAGCTGGTGACCTGCCAGGATGGTGCTGATGGGGGGCTACTGTGAGGGCAACAGCTCCATCGCCCAGGCCTGGGTGCAGCAGGGCTTCCAGCCCTGCTTCTTCTTCACACTGGTGCCGGCCGTACTGCTGAGCGTCTGCCTGCTGCTGGGCGCCCTGCAGTACGCCTGCTACGTCCGCTTCGGCCGTGCCATGGAGCCCAAGTACATCCCTCGCTCCCGCCTCTACCGCGGCCAGGTCCTGCTCTCCCTGCTCCTGGCCGTGCAGCCCCTCGGTGGGCTGCTGTGGCAAGTGGGGAGGCCAGCACGGCTCTACGGGTACATGTTGCTGCACGCCTGCCTCTGGGCCCTCAGCTGGGGCTGTGCGGTCGCCCTCCTGCAGCTGGAGCACACGCGGGTGCTGGCCCATGACCGGACGCGGGGCCATGGCACCGTTCTCCTCCTCTTCTGGGCACTGGCCTTCGCCGCCGAGAACCTGACCCTGGTGTGCTGGAGGAGCCCACTGTGGTGGTGGGCGCTGGAGGACACCAACCAGAAGGTGGGCTGGGGGCCTGTGGGCAGGAGAGGGGGCTGGAGGGATCCTTTGGCAGGAAGGGCCACAGCATCGCAGTGCTGGGGTGGTGTGTGTGTGTCATGTCCTGCCATGCCCAGGGTGTGCATGCTCCTGGGATTCACCCACACATCTGCCACATGTCTCGGCCCAGAGCCCAGCTATCACCCACCTCTCCACGTGCCCATCCGGCTCAGCTCCTGCTTCTGCCTGGCCCAGACCCAGGCGCAGAGATGGGGGGTGTCTGCCTGCTGTTCACAGCCCTTAACCCCCCTCCTACCCCCAGGGTATGGACACCCCAAGCCAGAGGGTGCAGAGCCAGATGCAGAAGGAAGGAAGGACGGGGTCTGGGTGCTGCCTGAGGTGCTGTGCTCAGCTGGGGGATCCCAGTGAACTGCCATGGGGTGTCCCCTGGCTGCACTGCACCCCATCCCCCTGCCCTGCTCCTTGCCTGTCTCAGCTCATACCCATCCTGTGCCCGGCCATGCCATGCTGAGGTCTGGCTGTGGCACTGACCCCCTGTTCTCTTTCCAGGTACAGTTCAGCTTCTGGCTGCTACGTTACCTCTGCACGTTCATGCTCTTTGTCCTGGGCATGAAGGCCCCGGGGTTGCCCCGCAAGCCCTACATGCTGCTGGTCAATGAGGAGGAGCGGGATGTGGAGAACAGCCAGGTGAGTGCTGGGGCCAGAGCAGTTAGGGGACGTGGCCAGGGAGGAGCTGGAGACAAAATGTAAATACAGCTGCCTTGGGATCAGCATCTTCAGGAGACCAAGGAGGCATGAGGTTTTGGGCTGCCCAAGCTCCCTGTGTGCTGTCAGCAGGATGCGGCCCTGCTGGGAGGATGTAGTGGGCACCCTGGGAGGATGGGTCTGGTTTTCTTGGTGGAGCGTTCCCCGGGGCCGTTGCCAGCTGGGCTGGGGTGCCGGGGGGTGACCCCTCGCTCTGCTGTCCCCCAGCCGCTCCTGCCTGACGCCAGCAGGACCACCTCCACCTGGAAGGATTTCCGGAGGAAGCTGCAGTTGCTGGTGCCGTACATGTGGCCGAGGGGCAACCACCTGCTGCAGGGGCTGGTGCTGTTCTGCATGGCGCTCATGGGGCTCGAGCGAGCCATCAATGTCTTTGTCCCTATCTACTACAAGAACATTGGTGAGGTGCCTGGAGCTCGGTGTGTGAGGCTGCTCATGGCCTCATTAAGTGCTGGGGGGTGTCACGAGTGGCTTGGGGGGCTCCAGAGATCTGGCAGGAGTGGGCTCCAGGGAGTCAGGGACCAGTGCTGGGGCTGGTTCCTACAGGGCACCTGGTGATACTCCCTGCCCCTCTGCCCTGACCCTTGCCACCCTCTCCCCAGTGAATGAGCTGACGGAGGGTGCTCCCTGGCACACCCTGGCCTGGACTGTCTGCATCTACGTGGGGCTGAAGTTCCTGCAGGGTGGAGGTGCTGGTAAGGACCACTGGGAAGGACGGAACGTTGGGTAGAGACAGCACAGGGCACATCGTGCTGGGACTGGAGTGGCCAGGGAAGCCTAAATGCCCCACCACTGCTGCTCTCTCTTGGGAGCAGCAACCAGAACTGGTTCTGGGTTGGGGACAGCGGGGGGGGGCTCCATCCCAAATCCCTTTTCCAGCTGGGCCTTCCTAGCTAGCTGCATGCTCCACTGGTGCCAGTCTTCGTTGACCATCCCTTGATGCCTCACAGGCTCCACCGGCTTCGTGAGCAACCTGCGCACCTTCCTGTGGGTGTGGGTGCAGCAGTTCACCAACCGGCAGGTGCAGGTGCAGCTCTTTGCCCACCTGCACGGGCTGTCCCTGCGCTGGCACCTGGGGCGTCGCACCGGCGAGGTCCTGCGCAGCGTGGACCGGGGCACCAGCAGCATAAACAGCCTGCTGAGGTCAGAGCATGCCTGTGGCAGGTGGGGGGTGGCCGGGCTGCCCCACTGGGCCGGGCTGATGCACCATTCCCCTTCCCACCCCCCAGCTACATTGTCTTCAGCATCGTCCCCACCATTGCGGACATCGTCATCGGCATCGTTTACTTCACGTCTGTCTTCAGCGCCTGGTTTGGCCTCATCATCTTTGTGTGTATGAGCCTCTACCTGAGTGAGTGGGGAGTCGGGGTGCAGGGGTGCCATGCCAGGCTGTGGGGCAGTGGACACCTGCCGACACAGCCCTCTCCTGCCCACAGCTCTGACCATCTTCATCACCGAGTGGAGGACCAAGTACCGGCGGGACATGAACACAAGGGACAATGAAGCCAAGTCCCGGGCTGTGGACTCGCTCCTCAATTTTGAGACGGTACCATAGGTGGTGGTGGGGTGGCTGAGCACTGCCTGGTGCTGGTGGGGCTGATCTGGATGCTGACCCTGGCTCTGTGTCCTTCAGGTGAAATACTACAATGCGGAGAGCTACGAGGTGAACCGCTTTAATGATGCCATCATTAAGTACCAGGTACAGGGCGCTCAGCACCAGTGGGGGAGTTGCAGGGGAATGAGCTGAATTTCACGGGCACCTGCAGGGAGGATGGAGTTCACCCTGGGTCTGGTTCAGAGATGGAAGTATCCTGGGGACCTTGCGTCTTCCAGGTCTCAGAGTGGAAGGTCAGTGCCTCGCTGGGCCTCCTCAACCAGACCCAGAACCTGGTCATTGGCCTGGGCTTGCTGGCGGGGTCCCTGCTCTGTGCCTACTTTGTCACCGAAAACAAGCTACAGGTAAGGCTGGTGCCAGCCTGGATAGCCCCCGGCTTGGGATGGGGCCCTGGGGCTGGTGGTGACAGGCAGCTCTCCCCTGCCTCTTCCAGGTGGGGGACTTTGTCCTCTTTGGCACCTACATCATCCAGCTCTACACGCCACTCAACTGGTTTGGGACTTACTACAGGTAATCCTGGGATCTGCAGGGGTGCCTGGGGTCCCATGCCCTGTGGCCACTGGGGTTGGGATGTGCTCCTCCAAACCCTTCCCTCTGGTCTTTGCCCCCTTCCAGGATGATCCAAAACTCCTTTGTGGACATGGAGAACATGTTCGAGCTCTTCCACGAGGAGCAGGAGGTGGGTGCCACCTCCCCAGACCCTACTCCCTGGTGTGGCCCCGTGGTCCTGCCCTGGGGAGGGGCTGTTTCTGGGGCCACATTTCTCCCTCTGGCAGGTGAAGGATGTGGTGAATGCCAGCGACCTGCGCTTGGAGGCTGGGCGGATTGAGTTTGAGAACGTGCACTTCAGCTATATGGATGGGTATGGGATGGCGGGCACAGGGTGGGATGAGTCGAGCTATGGGGCCTGGCACAGGGACGTGGGGCAGCGGAGGTGGCCCTGAGCCCACCTCGCCGTCTCCCTCTCCCAGGAAGGAAATCCTGCAGGACGTCTCCTTCTCTGTGATGCCCGGGCAGACCCTGGCCCTGGTGAGAGTGGGACCTTGGGTGTGGTTGCACTGCTGGAGGGTGGGATGGGGGAGGAGGGGCTGGGAAGGATGG